TCCTCCACCAGTTCTTCGGGTGTCGTACACGTCAGCGGCTGTACCCGCTCCAATGGAACATACGTGCAGCCGCACACACGATCCGCGCCAATGTCTAGCAACACGGCAAGTAAAGTGGCGGCGAAACAGTACGCGGGCAACGCTTACAATCGAAAACTAGGACGCGTTGGGATGCCTCTGGGAACTATGCCATCTGGTGGAAAACGCTATGTTGATAACCCTCACAATAGGCGCCTTGGACGTGCAGGAAAACTCATTCCACCCAAAAAGGTTCAGCAGCAAGAAATCATGGAGGGAAACACGGTACAGGATATAATCAGGTTCATGGAAGACATGGCTGGCATTGAGTACGATATTTACCAGTCTGCCGCTAATAGGTTGGCTCAGCAACAGGTAGAAGAAGAGTGGAGAAAGAAAAACATCAGTTTCGAACCACCAGCTCTAGCCATACAAGAGATTCCACACCAAGACCTAAAAATAGAGAAGGAGATTGGGCATGGTGGATTTGGCACCGTGTTTGCATGCTTGTGGAATGAAAAACCAGTTGCCTATAAAAAGTTTATTATACAGCAGCAAATGTCGAGAAGGGCAGAGCGAGATTTTGCAAAACAGATGAAGATCCTAGTCAGCCTCGATCACCCATGCATAGTGAGGTTGTTTGGTGCCGTTCTTGAGGAGGGGTGTCTTGGAATAGTGATGGAGTACTTGTCACGCATGCTTTATCACGCTCTATTCAATGACGAATCAGAATTTGAGGACGAAAAAAAGAAAAAGATTGTATCTCAGCTTGCCAGCGCCCTGCAATACCTTCACACACCCCCGACGGAAATTGCCCATTGTGATATTAAGAGTCAAAATGTGCTGCTAGATAAAGATGACAATGCCAAGCTGTCTGATTTTGGGCTTAGTTTGATAAAGAAAAATTCAGAAGCATCTCGATCTTCAGCTGCACCAGTTCCTGCCCGAGGTACTCCGCGATACTCTGCACCGGAGGTCCTACGTGGAGAACTTCTAACTCAACAGCAATTTTCAAAAGCCGACATATAGCTACTCCTTAGCCATTTGTGTTTTTGAAATAGTCACTGAAGAAGAAGCATACTATGGGCTCGGTGAAAAACAACTGGAAGCTCAAGTGGGTAGGGGGAACTTGCGTCCTAAAGCTGAATCAGACATTGCTTTCTCAGCAGAGCTCTCTGCCTTCCTTGAATCATGTTGGGATTCAACTGCCGAAAATCGTCCCACTTCCACTCAAATTGTTGATCAGTGGAGCAAAATAACTGATTTGCTTGCATGAACAAAAGAACTTGAACAATGTCAGCTTAGATTACTTAGAGCTGTAACTCTTGCATAGCCTAATAAAGTAGTTATGATTAACCCTTCTCATACCACAGTTGATTTTCCTTCATATCTGGCTAATTGCAAAGCATGCACGATTTCTAGATGTGGCACGTGTGATCTAGTACGCATAGTGGGCATGTGCAGGGTGGTGTGGATTTATAATTATTATGGCACCACTCAGATTGTTAGGGTTTGCACTGCTACCATTGTTGCATAAACTATGCAACATTAATTTTTCCTCGCTGCATTGTCTCTAAACTAGGTAGTTACGCATGCGCTTGTAGGTCAAGCCATCCACGACTTCTGAAAATGTCCAGCAAACTATCTTCTGCCTCGTCAGTTCCCCTCAGAGTTCTCTGAAGTACAACAAGATTTTCCTGCACCGCCAGGTACTGAGGAGTCCTGCGACCAGCCATTTTCTACCTGGTCTTCAATTGGAGCGTATAGCCGCTTCCTGTACACTAAGCAAGCTCATGAATTTAATTAACCTTTCCTCAGTATTGGTTTGTGTGGGGCCAAAAGATTGCATTCGTGGAGTATGTGACCCTGCTGGTGAATGATTAAACTGTATTGATGGAGCATGGGGCACCCCGACACCATGACTGACTCACTAACTAACTGAGGCCATTGTGTGCGATCTGAGGATGGACAGAAAATTATGCTCGTTTTGTACTGAGCGGGTTCATGTAAAAAATTTTCAGGGGTTTCATTAATCATAATTTCTTCTACCAATTTCTAGGATTCAGTCAATTCAGTCAGTCTATCATATTTGGGAGTGCCCTGTTCTCCAGCTCATCTGCAATGACAGTCAAATCTCGATCTCTCAATGCTGTTATCACACTCCGCCATGTTGGATTTTTAAACTTCTTCGATCCACTTTGTAAGAACTTTTTGAAAAGTTTGAAGCATGATTCGCTGTCATCTTTCCCTTTGCAAATGTCAACTTTGTAGTCCTCAATGCCTAATCCGGACACGCCAAATGTGTTCCACTGCTGTGACAGCCTGGGAATTATCTCTATCTCATGGGTTTCTCCATCGATTACATACTTCAATTTCAAAAGTTGACCAAGTGTTGGTATTTTGCCTAATGCAATAAAGATAAAGTCATACATTGAGCTTTATTCAATGGTATAGGAAACTGTTACTTACTTAGGATTTCAGGAACACGAGAAGGGGGGCGTTGTTGAAGGTTTAGCAGTCCCCTGAGCTGGTAATGAGGAGGAAATGACAGGGAATTTAATCATCCAATCATTACAGATGCTGGCATGCTTAACATTTTCTCCACTATCACCAACAATAGAACCCCCTGGCCCTATTGTTTGAGGAGATGTAAACAGTTTATATTCTCAGGTGTTGCAAAACAAAAGTGTGTGTCTGGAAGTACTGTTTTCACGCATATTGCAAGCATTATTGCTACAGTGGGACTTTTAAACAAGGTATACAAGGTAGGGGAGGTATATACAAGGTAGGGAGATCACACATGATGGTCTGATCATACTGGTGTTAAGTTTCTGTGTGACGTTCACCCCCTAGGGATCTGACCTTGTTTGTAACATCAAGTTATGTGTCAAATTTGGAGGGAAAAACTTAGTTCCTGCAAGAGTTATCTTTCACCGGTGGGTAACATTAAACTGAGATTCACTACAGAGCTACAACACACCGATATGTTGAGCTGCATGGCACCCACATATGTTATATAAGGTAGACAAGCTACATTACCATTCTCTGCCAGAGTTTTCACAAGCTCCTCGTAGACTTTAGCAGAAAAAATATGGCAAGAAACTCATTAAACCAGCGTATTTTCTCTTTTGATGTTTCTATCTTCGTAAATACACTATTCAGCAGCTTTCCGGCTTTTTCTGCTGGAGTAACCCCATGCGTTTCAAGTATTCCACTAGCTGAGCCGGGGGCAATAAACGCTTTCTCTATGAGACCATCTGCGAACCACTGAAGGTTTCCCTGGACCGCGCTGGTGATGCTACGAAGGTTTGTTCTCAGTGCAGCAATCTCAATCGCCTCACCTGCCATCTTCTCTCGATCTGATCGCACTATTGACCGTTCCCCCGCGCCCCTTTTAATGCCGGGCTCAATCTGTTTACGCATGGGAAAATTTTTCCGTAAAATCTCCGTAAATTATTCCGTTTCAAAAGGAACCGGAAATGCATCCACTTGAGCATGCCAAATGTGAAGCGTAAGGTGTGCCTCACTTGGTACCATGCATACTTTGTCCACAGTCGGTCACACAAGGCTGTAGCTCGGTCTTCCTCAACTTTTTGTGATGATCTCACACGGAGCCCTTCTCTAGGGGGCTACAGTTGCTCTACATCTGTGCTGATGGCATGCGTGTAAAAGCTCATAACGGCACCCAGCAGTCGTTTTTGCACCGCAGGTTACTGGCTGCTATTGCTTGATGAGAAATGGTGTGACAATATTATCATGCAGTATAATTATACCCATAGCTAAGCGTGTACAAGCTGTAACAAAACAAAAATGTACTGCAGTGGAACCTCATTAATACGAAATTCAGGGGACCGCCAACTGCCTGGGCATTTAAAGAACCAGGTATTACTGTAAGTGTAGCTTTGGTGCGTGTATGATTGCTCCCCTCTACGAATATGAGTGCTTGATGGGCTAGGTTTAATCAGATATAGAAAACAGCTCAGCCTATATATACAGACAATGTGCACTATCTTTCCTCCATGGTGTAATCAGCAGTCGCCCCGGAATAACTGTGTTCATGCAAGAATGCATGCAGTCCAAAATATCATGCAGGCACACGTGACTTGCATTGTGGTAACAGCATATCCTTGTTTAAAAGCTAATGAAAACCTGATCATGGCAAAATGGGAAAGAGAAGCGACTCACCAGGAGTTTGTTTCTCACATCCCCCTCTCCCTCCTGCCCTCCTCCCCTTTTCCATACGCAGTCCACGGGTCATTCTGGGAGTGACCAACCCATTCTTCACTTAATACACTGGACCACTGGCCTCATGTCATCAAACTTGGAGACATCTCATCCAGCAGTCCTGGTACCAGTTCTGTATAGTGAATTTCCGTGGTAGAAAACTTTCACACACGCACGCACACACGCACACACACACACACTCAATCACCTCCCCCAATGTCTCTCCAGGGACAGAGGAGAGCAGACCTCATCAGAGAAGCAGGTCACCAGGTGACCTCTCTGACTCCAGACCAGGTATACAGTATGGCTATATATAGCTGTATAATAGTAAATTATACAATTGAGCTGTCTATATGAGTATTTAGCTACTTTCCATAGCTGTGTACTATATACATAATTATATGCAATTCAGAGACTAAGTGAGTTTCCAATAAGGAAGCATACATGTAGAAGTATGCATATTCACTAAGCACTGATGCATGACTCCAAAAATGGAACTGAGGTGGTATGCAGAGTGGTTCTAGTGTAGCTACTCCACAACAATCAGGTCATGTGTCTCTCTGAAGGGCCCCACATTTGACTAACAAAACTTGTCCACCTCAGCTACTATATACAAGGAAGTCACAGATTTCTCTAAATATGAGATTACCCCTTGTTCACATTCCTAGTATTTCCCAGAGCACAACACAAACAGTTCCTTGGTTGGCTTACTGTAGTGTTCTTAGCAGGGCACTGTATATTCTGGAGATGAATAATTATTGTTTTACTTTGTGTTCCCTTGCAGGGGTGTTCAGCAGGTACAAGCCCTTCTTGCAGAAAGACAAGACCTTTGCCAAACTGGTCATCTCAAACAGCTCTGTACTGACTTATCCACCCCTTACATCCCTTACACGCTCAAACGTCTTGACTTTTTCTCCACATATTATGTCTCAAAACGTGCATGTCTACAGGAGATTCCTGAGTTCTCCCAACTTCACCTCATGGTTCTCGGTGAGGAAAGAGGAGGCCAACCAGAAACTGAGACTCATCCACTTGGACCAGCTCTGCAAGGCTGTGAGCACACTACACTATAGATGCCTGCTATAATTAGTGTCACTCAGCCCACCTATATAGTTGTCTGAATTGCTTTCTATACAGATGTCTGTAATGTTCTAAGACCACTGACTGTTTTCACACTGCTTTGTTCACAAAACTAACTTGACTATATATATAGGACATAGGGTTCTGGATGAGGGACAAACAAGAGGTAGAGATTGTGGATTTCCTACTTCAGGTCAAAGAATGCCTGGTATGTGAATTATTTAACTCCCACCCCAGTGTAATTACTCACTCAATTCCTCCCCTTCATTCTTTCCATCTCCCCCTACATCCCTCTAGTCAAGGGCCACCCGGCAGTATCCCTCAGTGTCAGCTCAGACAGTCCACACTCTCCAGTCACAGATCAGAACTATCATTTCCTCTCTACCTGAGGACCTCCAGTCCTGTCTTAAATCCTCTTTCTCTTCTCCCTCATGAAATTGTACATAAACATACACTGCTATTAATTTAATACAAGTGTTCTAGACTATGAAAGAGAGGAGACACACACTTTAATCTGTCTACAGGTGTTCTAATTTTTCTTAAGAGTTTTTACATACTCTTCAACGTCTTTAACTATGTCAGTAAGTTCACAATGCTCTAGAACATTTATTAGGTTGTCCCATGTAACTGGAGTTGGCATGCTACGCAGCCATTGCTGCAGGATACCACCTACGATGGCACTTGGTACATAAAAGTTTTCAGCCATCAAATTCTCCACTTTATGTCCATCATCTTTAAGAAGCATTGTCCCAAGGGTCTTGTATTTCATCCCAACCCGTTCGTGAATTTTAAGTTTATACAGCTCAGGTAGAGTTGGAGGCCCTAGAAACACAGTATAATTATACATTTTGTGTTACAGAAAGCCATGGTGTGTTTAACCATGTAATAATCAAAGTACCCTGTGGAATCCTATTATAGTTCGACCCCTCTATGTGGTACAAGAGAGCATGTGTTGCAGATAGACCCTGCCCGTTCGCAAACACGAAGGCCCTTCATATTCATGGTGGTTAAGTATTATACTCAAGCTCAACTCCCAGTGGCTGTTGAAGGTATATAAATCAGGGCCCTTAATGAATTTCCAATGCCTGCAATGACCAGGAAAAGGTGCCCAATGCTACCGATAGGCCGAAAGGGTTCCCTTTAGATAACAGCTACCACCAACGGCTTTTTCGCTTGTTTTCATGAACGAAGTCGTTTCAGGAAAATCGCCTAATATATTTTCAGGCTCCCGTAGTTCTTAATCCGCTGGTATCGCTAATGGGCCGCCTCGTAGCCTGTAGTGCCGCGCCGTCGGACAGACGGAGACTACCGTAAACCTCGCTGCGCATGCGCGCCGAGGGTTAATCATGCAAATTCGTGTTTGGTGGTGCAAGGAAATTAGTTTTGACTTAGAATTCCCTTATTGCAGATATATAGTAGTGAAAGAAACCACTCAACCAAACCTAAGGATGTGGGACAATTAATATCAGTATACAGTTAGCAACTACAGCGTGTCGTAGCGATAAAGCACCATCTCATATATAGCCCCTGCAAACATCTTTTGTGGAAAATTAGCGTATAATAATGTGTTCATCTCATACAAAAGCTATATATAGTTCTAGCAATTAGTAGGCCATAATTATTTTTTTGAGAGTTCTAGATACATGTGTTCCAGATGATCTTTCCTGTTAACTTGTACAGAGCACAAAACTGCCTGCCAGATTGTGCCAGATATAAGGGCTTGTTATGGCATTCCTCCATTTTGAAAAGTAGCTATCCATCATGCAATCTTGGGCAAAATCAGGTTTGCCATGGTGATTGACTTGAATGGCACTAATCTCTTCTGCGGTTATTTTAAGTTCAAGGGCAATCTTATCCCACTTTGCTTGCAAAGCGACCCCAACAATATTCATCAGATTACTTAGGTCAGGTGATCCAAATTGATTGAAGTCTAAATTCCAAACATAAATAATTTGATCAACATTTTACCCTCTGAATTTACCTTCAGGTGTATAAGAACATGCTGAGTGGGTATGCTGTGTTTGATGTACAGAAGCACTTCCTTTTCCTATAGGCAAAGATCAATAATGCAGCTAACATCGGAGTATAGTGTCAAAAACAACTTAGCTACCACTTCCTCCATAAAATCAGCAACTACAGATCCTCCTGACCCTGAGCATGCATGTGCATTATTAGCTACATGGAAACTCACACAGCACCATGACTTAGCGAAATTTTATAGCGCGTAATTAGACATGAACCACCAGCCCATGTCGCATATAAGAAGAAAATCTGGCTGTTACAACTTACAATAGAGTTCCACATTCATGTAAAAGCAGGACCACAGACAAACAAACTGGAGCAATATTATAGTTACAAACCTTACATCCTTAGTGCATGGTGTAGTCGTGCGGTGCGGAAAATCATAGGAGATGATTGTAATTCCACTTCAAAGTGGTTTCTGGAGCTGGACAAACTACCAACCGTCATGTAGCCGAAAGCGAGGAAGCTAGCAGCGCCGACTGTTGCTGAAGCAAGCGTCTAGCCTCCGAAACAGCGGAAGAGCGACAGGCACGCTTGTCAACGTCTCAACGGCGTGTGTGGCGCGCTTCAAGAAACCAAGGAGGCTCATGCATGAACGCCGAATAGTGCCGCTGATAGAGCCGTGGTCCCTATATATTACTTAGCACCGCCAGCCTTTGCGATATCATTGCACATAACTTTGAGCCAAAGGCAGAAAAAAGTATATATGCAGCCACAGCAAAGGATCGGGGAGAGAAAGAAGCAAGAAGAAAAAGAAAAATCACCTGGTAAGAAGAAGCTGAGCAATTTTTGCATGTGATTTACATCGATGGGTGTACACTTTTCATGGTACGAATCACATGTTGGCATGCAGCACATGATACTGCAGCCTCCCCACCTCACGTACACTATGGTAAAAAACTACCGGTGGATTTTTCTGGGCTGTCAGCAAAAACTCCATTTATACACGGACCAATGACCACAAATTGTTTATGAGCTCAGCATGGACAATTTTGCAGCCACCCCAGTGACCCTGACGACTGTTTGTAGCAAACTCGAACAAGTCGCTAGATATGGCTACCCTCCGTATGCGCGCGGACTAACACCAACCGCTTCCGCGGCTTAGCGCTATAGCTGCTACAGTATGATGCCAACACAAGAGACTAGCTGCATTAATAGCTACATACCTTTTCCAGACTTTAATGGGCACCGTGCTGCAAAAAAGAGAAAGTGAGTGGCTACTAAGCTCAACAGCACGTGTCTAAATATATACCTATGATCTTGTCCACAGCAACTTTGATGCTTTTATCTTTCTGCAGCATTTCAATAAACACCTCATAATTCTCAACATCGATATCAATTTTGGTCATGGCGTTTGTAATCAGCTCATCAGCTCTCATGTTGTCTAGTTGGTCAACCCATCCATGCTTTTTAAATTGTGTTAGCAATCTTTTTTCTGCTCCAGCTCCCTTCAAAGCTTTTTCTAGTATATCTTGATACTCCTGCACAGCCAGGTACTGTGGAGTGTCACAGCCAGCCATTTTTGTTGAACAACAACTGGCCCTGCCTAGCTGTAGCATAGCTATATCAATGAGTTTTACAATTTATTACTATGATGTCACTTCCTGTATAAACAAATGAGTCACATGACCTCTTTCCACTATGGGGTGGGGCTTTACAACAGCTGCTCAAAATTACCCCCTGCACATGTGCAAGAAGGATAAAAGTATATACAAGTCATGAAAAAATTTTTATGGTACAAAACCAAAACAAAAAGTGATAACTAAAACTATCAGTTATGTTTTGGCACCTTTCTGAGCATGAGTGGACCACAGTTGAGACGATTGACCATATCACATTGTTGTGGATTATCCTTCAGACTATCTCGCACTTCTTTCATGACGGTTGCAGCAATATCCTGGAATGAGTCGTTCATCTCCCGCAGGGCTCGGGCAAGCTTGGGCATCCATACGCTACTGCGATTACTTGCATACGAGACGTGATGGGGAATGGTGGCATAGGCAATGCAGTAGTTACCTTCAACATGTTGCATGCCTTTTGTGAAATAAACCTCATCAGCAGATTTTGCAGCCTGGTTTTTAGGAAATTTATTTCCGCCCTTCTTTGTAAAGAGTATCTCACCCCCCGCGACAAGCGTCGATGAATAACAGCTTTGGAACATATTTGACACCCGCGTGCCTTGTGAGAGGAAAAACAATCTCGTCCTTGAAGTCGATTATGCCACCGTCATTGGCATAGAGTTTTTCAGCTCGATCCACTGTGTCCCCGTGGCCCGAAAAGGCAAACACGATGACTTTTTCTCCTTCAGCCTCTTGCGGTACGTTGTACCCACTCAGCTCGTCGGATATTTCATTTAGTAACTTTTTCATTTCTCCTTGGTTGGATTCTGCAGTTCGCGAATTAAGTAGCCGAGTCGGTTGAAAGTTTCTCTCATTTCTCTGGTGTCTTCTCCGGTTCCCAGCAGTGTCTCCTTGGTGTCATTTCCCTGGTAGTCACAGGCTACCAGAATGGCTAGACCTGGGCTATCAGCAAAGGTTGTGCCTATAATGCAAAAGGGATAACAAATTTAAAAATTTAACTTACCGTTTTGCAGGTAGCTACTACGAACTGTCCTTCAGAACTGTAAGCAGGGTGTGTATTCATAATTATGCCAATATGCACCTACGTAGCTACTTCATTCTTATGGAGGCTGTGGACAGTGGCTCTTGCTCCTACTACATAGTATTTTCTTTTTTACCTGTTGCAGCTTGCCCATAGTCTTCCTTGATCACACCAGATTCATTCTGGCCTAGAAAACATGGAGCATTTGTAGTATGTCATTAGTCCACTTAAGTAATATGACCACAAAAATCATAGTGGGAAGACTGTCAAAACGAGACAAGTGCAAAAGCCATTAGTACACACAGCACTGTATGCGCAGTCTATAACGACCAAAACTGTGTTCTTGAAATGGGTGTTGGCGGTGGACTAGAAACCGGTATACGACTTGGAGTGGCCTTATACCTATAGCCATTCAGCTCCGTCTCAAACAAACACACGGCTGACTGAGGGGTGGAATAGACCGAATGCCGTCCGCGGGGCAAGCCGCTCAAATGGGTTCGCCGCCCCGACGACAAACTCACGTGCCTGTGGCACAAAAGTTTAATCATCTCTCTTGGATGCTATGTGGATGCAGTATGAAGAAGGGGTATAAGATATGACTGTGAGTCAGGCATGTGAACAACAGCCTAGCTACCTAAACTTCACAAGCAGTCTTATTGAATAGCAACCTAATTTCGACAGAACAACATTCCATTGCAGACCCACACCAAGCTTTTATGGTGTCAACATTGTCATGTGACTGTCCACTTTCTCCTCGTGTATTTACTTCAAATTTTCCTTAGCACACGTTACATGTATATAATAGCCTCTTTCTTTCAGGAATCTCATGTGAAACACTCTTGCGCAAAAATGATCTACAATGGTATTGGCTACAACTGACCAACAAGCAGCAAGTAGATCTAAAAGGGAGCATCACCACAATAATTATAGCCAGGCAGTGGCAAAAAGTCAGCATAACAGCAGCTTTTAATGCCTTTTTGCGTACCCATAAGTGAAAACATGCTTTTTTGGACATGGCTAATGCATGCAAAGGACCACAGTAAGGCCTCTCTGGCTTGAAAGCTGCATAGAAAAAAGAATAGTGGGCAGCTGAAACTAAAGAATTGGTTCAGAGCCCAGGGCTCAGCCTGAGAGCCAGTCCCAAAGGTTTCCATCTGGCAACTACTAGCGCCAACACTTCCATGTTCTCTACACGTATTTCTGCTGTTATACGCTCACCTTGGATATCCAAAGTATCAGAGTTGGCTCCACTTGCTTGAGGTGCATTAACAGCCACTTGACCAGGAAATAGGGGTAGAATCATTTACAGCACATAAATAGACACTAATGCCTGCACATGCTAGTTGGCAAGTTTGAGGAAAGACTTAGATACTCTTATTAGGCAGTATTTAGCTACACCTAGGTGGACTGCATCAACGATAATACTGCACTGACATAGAACAAGAACTTGAGCAAGCTGTTTAGGCATTATCTTTTGATAGTGTAAAAGTTTCCCCATTAGGTTTAATATTAATATTATTCTTACCAGTTTCTTTCTGATTGCATGAACCCACATCACAACCAGCATGATCACAGGTGGGAGGTGCAGAGGGACATTGAAGTTCCTGATGAACTAGGCATTCCGAGTAATCAGCAAACTGCCGCCCACAATAATCACAGGGGTATAGATTCAAGTGCTCCTCCATCATTGATTTTACAGCATCTGTAATGGGCAAGCCAAAGCAGCTATTTAACAATGTTGCTGCGATCATCAGTTCTCAATTGGCAGGACTTAACACACTGTTTCCATTCTCTTGTGCCCCATGCATAATTTTCCCTTAGCCAAGCCTTTAGCTTACATAATAGCTGAGCCTGGAAATGCAGCTATCTAGAACAAAACACAGCAGTTCACATTTTCAGCTCTAGAGAAAGTTTTATGCTTACATGCTTATAGCCTGCTGCAGACATAATACGCACCTTGTAGCTGAGCTTGGTTAGTGAAAGGGGGTGTAGCAAAAGTTTGATCTGCAGGGTCGCGTACAACATACGGTAAAAAATAGCATCCAAGGACACTAGTTGGAGATTTACGTACCTTTTGCAGACTTTAATGGGCACTGTTCTGCAGTAATGGAGAGAAACTGATATTTTGTTGTAAGCTCACAAAGTAGTTACTACCTATGATCATGTCCACAACATCTTTGATGCCTTTAATTTTCCGCAGCATTTCAATAAACACGTCATAATTCTCGACTTTGATTTCAATTTTGGTCAGGGCGTTTGTAATTAGCTCATCAGCTTTCATATTGGCAAGTTGGTCAACCCATCCATGACTTTTATATTGTGTCAGCAAACCTTTTTCTGCTCCAGCTCCCATTAAAGCTCTTTCTAGTATATCTTGATTCTTCTGCACAGCCAGGTACTGTGGAGTGTCACAGCCAGCCATTTTGTTGGACAACTATTGGCCCTGCCTAGCTGCGATATAGTTTATTGTTGCGATGTCACTTCCTGTATAAGAGCAGGTACCTTGAAATCCTTGTTTAGACAAACACTAATGATACATACACTACAACTCACACAACATAGAAAACTGTACGACAAACAACACGCTCACCCAGCGTCCACGATCATCATATCCGTATATACTTCTACACACAACCAACATCTTATCAACTCAGCTTGATCCATATTACATGATACTCATATGTACAAACTACAGCAACATCACACCCAGTACCACGTATCAATGAAACTCAATATCTCCCACGCTCTATGAATTCTATCTACTAACACTAGTCAGAACACTTTTTGGCCAAACGTTTCGACTGCTCTGCAGTGCTAATCAGTGGCAAAAAATACAAAAAAATAGGCAATGGCTGAGTTTTACGCATGCATACATGCAGAGAGACAGAGGATGAAAATAAATTCCATGTGTAACTAAGAGAGGAACAAGAGGCAAGAATGTGAAAATGAAACTAGCAAGATAGCTAGAGCTAGGTTTGCAAGGTCTATGAATAAAATAAAAGACACAAAAACCAGAATAATAAAATAAAAGTGGGGAGGAAAGATGAAGGATAGAAAAGGAAAGAAGACACACTCTCAGTGCAAACAGCGATATATACAGGTGGAAGGGTCCCCCTTCCCTGGGGAAGCTGGATGTCTCAGTATGTGCACGACTGCCGGGCACATCTTCGGAACTGTCTGGTTTCCTCTCTGAGTTACATTGAATTTAATGTTCATCCTCTGTCTCTCATGACCTAAAAACTCAGCCAGTGCTATTTTTGTACTTTTGCCACTGATGAGGACTGCAGAGCAGTCGAACGTTTGCGCAAAAGTTGCCTGACTAGTGTTAGTCGATAGAATTCATAGAGAATGCAATGTCCTAGTCAACCAAGTATACTTACAATATATACCACTGATCGCGATCTACTCTTAGTAGTAGTTCTTGCTACATATGACCCAGAAGTTCAATTTCATTAACTGCTGGACGACACAAGAACTCTGCCAGTTTCTTCCACGAGTATCACTTTTCAAACCAGACAGCCACTGGCTAAATACAAAACTCTGTCAACACTCTCGGAGGAGGGTCCAGTTCTCTACACTTTGTGGCTGTAAATCCCATTTAGTTCCCAACCCTTGAAACCAAGACCCAAGTCCCATGCTTTTCACTTCACCTGTTACTCTAACACCAACTATATTGCATCAGGTCAACAGCTTTGAGGTCGTGGGAAACTGCAAAGTCTGTCGAAACGAAAGATTACTAATGCGTCAGATAACTAGATATAGATATAAATTACTTCAGGTTTCCTATGCTTTGTTCCTGTGCTGTGTAACAAGATTACATATATAAACATCTCCCATATGGAAGACGGCAGGCGGTAATCTTGCACAGTATAAAGGCCAGTGCATGCCCCTTTGCTGCGTTAGCGACGCAACGGATATGTATCGCGGTCTTGGCATGTAAAACAATCAGCATAAAGTAGTGATAGGTAGATACCGAGGTCTTTTTGAGACGTGTTGGCCACCGTTCGAAATATTGGGAGTGACAATGATCATTTCAGCTCCAATAGCTAACTGGTTCTGAATCTATGCAACTCACTGTGATCTCTTCCAACAGCTCATCAATAGCTGAAACTTCTGCAGCATCGCATGAACAACTCGTAATCTCATACCTTGTGTCTATTTGCTCAGGGCTTTTCGAATCAGCCCATCGGCTTGGGTCTGGGCGGGCTGCTTTAGTTTTGGCTCGTGGTCAGCCAGCCACGACTTTTGAAAATGGCCAGCAAACTATCTTGCTGCTCGTCAGTTCCCCTCAGAGTCTCTGTAGCCTAACAAGATTCTCCTGCACAGCCAGGTGGTACTGCGGAGTCCTGCGACCAGCCATTTCTACTAGGCTCTCTCAACGGGCGATCACAACCAGGTCGTCCGTCCCTAGGCGCGCCCTGCGCCACTTTCGTCAGTCGCCTGGATGAGCTCATGCGCTATCAGATAACGCGGACGTGCTCGCATGAAAACGTGGACCTATCTAATTATCGCCGGCGTAACGTTGTGGTCAATGCTGGTTGGTAAGCGAGAGAAACTTTTAGCAAAGTTACGTGGCCCAGCCTTTTGCGCACGTGGAGTGGCGCGGAGGGATCTCCAAATGCCGGCCAGCTTGCGGTTCCGAGGACAGATTCCGTTCTGCGATGAAAAAGAAGGCTAGTTCTCCTGACGAAAAGGCGTGAAAATCGTCATGAGTAAAGCGTGAAGGTTAGTGGTTACACCAGATCTAACGGACCTACGTGGCCGGGTATACAAGAAGTGCACCAAACAGGGCGATCAAGCGGGGCAAGTTCTTCTAGCAGATCCACTGTGGCGCCGTAGGCTCTCCACAGTTCTTCTAGTGTCGTACATGTCAAGGGCTATACTCGCTCCAATGGACGTACGTGCAGCCGCACACGCGCTCTACGCCGACTATGATATCAGACGGTGCGAGTTCCTCCACCAGTTCTTCTGGTGTCGTACATGTCAGGGGCTATACCCGACTCCAACGGAACATACGTGCAGCCGCACACGCGCTCTCGACGCCGATAGGAATCAGACGGTGCGAGTTCCTCCACCAGTTCTTCTGGTGTGTCGTACATGTCAGCGGCTCCAATGAAACATCGTGCAACGCACACGCGCTCTACGCCGACTAGAAAGCGAGTTCCTCCACCAGTTCTTCTGGTGTAGTACATGTCAGCTGCTCCAATGAAACATACGTGCAACCGCACACGCGCTCTACGCCGACTAGAAAGCGAGTTCCTCCACCAGTTCTTCTGGTGTAGT